TTTATTTTTTTTTATATATATATATATATATATTTCTTAATTTTATTGAAAACTAATTGAAAACAAATTAGTCTAGTGTCCAATAAAGTATTGAGCTGTTTTTAAATGCGAAATATTGGATAACAAATATTAAATTATTTTTAGAAAGTATTTTCGCTTTTTTAAAAATTTCAGTCAGCTTAAATTTTTTTCGAGTTACAGCGAAATGCCCAAAAAGCAAAATTAACATTAGGTTTTAAAACTTTAAACTGATATCCTGACCAATCTATTAGAAACATATTTCCAAGATTGCGACTACCTCTTATAGTTTGGGGGTCATAAGTCCGAATCCGTAGGAGAAATTTTTTTTATTATTTAGCGAAAGTACCTTTTCATGTCTGGTTTCGTAATTTAAAATATCTTACCTAATTAATTAGCAATATTTGAAATCACCAAATCGAACGATTAAAATTGAATCCTAGAACGTGAAGATCCAATCAATAGATCAAAATTTGAAATATTTACTACTTTTTATTATTTTATTTAATAACAGTTATAAAACTTTAGCATCCATGGAATTTATTATTCTACACGTGAAGTATGTTAAAATCTGTGTAAAAAAATGAAAATCTACATTTTTTCAAAATATTTAATAAATATTATATTTCAATGAAAAATTACTCAGTTTTTAGGTAGCATTTATTACCAAGGAAATCGTCTTTGCTATTCAATATGTTTCAGATGCTAAATAAAAGTTTTAGATAATGAATGAAATATCTGATTTTTTGCTGCCTTTTGAAAATATATAAAAGCAATAAAAACAATGGCAAGTGTTAAGACATTATTTTAATACCTTTATTTCATCAAGCTTTCATTTGTGTTCTTCTTAGAAAGTTACAAATCACAATTGTATAAACTGTTTAGCCTGCTGCGGATACACAAGTGTTTGTTTTAGGGCTGCAAACAAGTCCTGGTCCACAGCGAGCATAACTATAGTCTACATCTACTACAGGTGGTGGAGTACTTTGTATTGCACTTGTTGTTCCAGTATTTCCATCTGCAGGCTCTGTAGCACTTCGCTTGGCTCTTGAACTTCCAGCGCTTCCACCAGCTGACTCATCTCTTATCTCACATCGCTCTCCTTTACCTGAAAGAAAGAACTCTGAATTCATGAGACTGTTTTATTACTGTAGCATTGTATAATATGCAATTTTGTTGTCTCTAATTTCATTAATAGATGAGACATTGCGAGTCCTTACCTAAAATCAGCGCTTTTTTGGGAATTTATACCGTGTAAAATAATAAGCCAAAATATTTCCCCCCCTGAAATTCGAGCTCTTGGAGTAGTTACAGTGAACACAATGAAATTGTATAGTAATCAAAATCTATGAACCTATAAAGTCTATATCTTTTCTTTTTCTTAGAAAACCATATTTTCAATCTCCGCCCATGAAACTAATGAATAATCTTAACATCTTAACGCCATGAATAATCCTAAAAAAAAACTCTTACTTACTGCTTCTTGTTAATTTATAACAGTGAAGGTTACAACGAAATGTCTTATAATTTCGCATCTTCACTTTTTGTTTACTTGTTTTTAAAATTTTTAAGATTTAAGAAAGTAATTTCTTTTTCCTTTTTCTTTTGGTGTAAGCATTTGTATTCTTAAAATTTTTAAAGAATCGGAAACAGATAGCTCAAAATACAACTATAAAAACATTTGCATAAATGTTAAATTTATAAATTCATCTTATGATTGCTAAAAATTCTAATTTGACTATAAAATTGTATGTATTCAAGAAAAAAGTGTTTTTGCTGGATTTCGTAATTTAAGCAATTTACCGCATTTATGTAAGCATTTCACAGCCCAAATACCAGTTTGCATCTTAAATATAAACCAGTTTTTTTCCATTTTAATAGAACTAGAAGCTCATTCCCTTTAAAAACTTTAAAAAAACATTTTATTTACTAAAAAGCACCCATTTTAGAAGAATCTTTTAAAGTATTTTATATTTTCCCCTTTTATCATGAAGATTGCTAAAGATCACACAATTACAATAACGATTCTAACGGTTAGAAACTTAGCATATCCATGGTTTTAAATTATGTTTTTTGCAAACCATGCGCATTTATTTCAAGCAAGAAATCTGTTAAAGCAAGCTTTACATTTTAAAACTAAAAAAATACATAAATACGTTTTTGGATTTTTTTGCAGTGTATAACGTCTATACAATATACAAAATCCTTCACGAGGAAAATACATAACTATAAAACAGGGGTTTCCAGCCTACATGAGGCCGGGGACCACAATTAAAAACACAAATCAAATGGCGGGCCGCAACTTTATCAACATTTTATGTAGGATTCTTTTATGTTTGAAGGAACATTAAATATTACTGTCAGATTTTTACCAAGTTGTACAAAACAAAAGTATTGAATTACAAATTAAAATAAGAAGTAGATTTTTAAAAATATTTAATTGCATATTAAAAAATTCGGGCTACAATAACTTTAATGTGCACCCATGTGTTAAACAATTCATGTGCAACAGATATCTATTTTGTTAAGATATAAAACTTTAAAAAGGTTCGTATTAAAACTTACGTAGTAGCACACAAAATGTTCAATGACAAAATTGAGGTTTGTCTGCATTTGTAATTTTTAAATTTAAAATTTACAAATGCGTGTGTAAATATTTTCGTCCAAAATGAGTGGTTTCAAAAAGCTAAATCGGAGAATTTCTTCGAGAAAATTTCTGATACACACATGCTAAATTATATTCACAAAATACAAAAAAAAATGAAATAAAAAAAAGCAACATACACGTTTATTTTTGTATTTGAATAAGTATGTTCTTGGATGCAAAACCTGAGAAATAATTCCTTTTACACCGTTGGTATGATAAATTTCACGGAAACGAAGAAATTATGTTTTTATTAACGAGAAAAGTATTTTAAACCCATATATATTTTTTTTTACGAAAATTGTCCTCAAAAAATGACAACTAATATATTTTAGTTCGCGGGCCGCAAAAAAAGGTTTCGCGGGCCGGATGCGGCCCCCGGGCAGCCAGTTGGAAACCGCTGCTATAGAATATAAGCAAAAGTTAGGTGAATCATTCAAACGCTGTAAAACCTACCTAGCACTTCTTCGCAAGTAGCACAGCAGTTACATGCCGCAAAAACTGGCCTGTACCCTTGTTTGCAACTGATGTAAAAGTAGTATATTCCACATTTACTTTCATCGCAGACAACTGCACTACTGTAGTCGACGAAAGCAAGAAGCCAGAAGATAGCAGTGTACATGCTTGCTTTAAGGATTGTTTGTACCTATTAAAAATAAACTACATTACTCGTAAATATATAACATTTCAGTATATCCAGCGGATTTTTTTAATCGAATTTGCTCACATTAAACCAGCTTAAGGACATGAAATATGTTTTTTTTAACACAAAGAAGAAGTTAAAGAAACACTAATAAAAGGACACCAATTTAAATAAAGTAATAAACTTACCTTTGGCAAGGATAGTTTCAGGAAATATTTTTCTGTTGAAAATATGGAAAGAGAACAGTACAATGGTGACGTATACATCCATTAAATAAGATCAAACAGATAAGGAATTATATTCTCTTACCGTCTCTCTTTCCTTTTGGCAACTAAAATAAACTATAACACCGTTATTACTCCATTGATGAAAAATCAAAATATGGATATAGCAACAGATTATTTCATTTTATCTGAATATTGTTCTGCTTTTAGTAATTGAGTATTTTAAATGGCATTCCTATTGAGTCAGGTTTCATGTTTCTAAGATGAGATTAGCATTTGATGTCTCTTAATGTAAGATTAGCATTTTATGTCTTTTGATGTTGAAATCTTCCTTCAAATAACCTTCACTATAATGTAGCTTGTTGTAGGGATTAATTATTACTATGACCAGGAGGCAACACTATTCCTACGCGCTTTGCTCTGACCCTTGACGTTTTTTTATTTATCCATCCCTATTTTTTTCTCAATTTTCCCATGTTTTTCACAAAGAAAATAAATAAAAAAATAAAAATAAATAAACAAATCAAAGAAATAAATTATTGCAAAGAAAATTTTGTTTATGAAATATATAGTTATAATTTTATATAATAACTGTTTGTTTCCATATAATTGTAATGAAAAGTGCAGAAATTGGATTTTTAAAATAATCAACTATACTTGGAAAAAGATACATAAACATAAAAATACAAAATTTTCGACACAATAAGAAGTAATAAATAAAAAATAGTTTTAATTGTTAACAGTCTATGACGATAGCATTATGTCATATAACAATTAAAATTGGAAATGGCTTTAATCTATAAGTCTTTTCTTCATCTTTAAAAATTTCGTGTTTTAAGTTAAGATTTACGTCTAGCTACATCCAATCTTTTATTCCCTTATTTTTTTATCTATTTACTTATTTTTTCGTTCTTTATAACAATAAGTCAAACACGAGCTTATAAAATAAAGATCTCGCTGAATAAATGAAATTTTTTACTACATAGAGGAGAGTTGCCTAAAATGTAATATTTTTCACATTTAAATTTTTATCCCCCAGAGGTCACTGATCATTACATTTTAAATATTTTAATCATGAAACACAGTCATTCTACTAATTATATTATTTTTGGTCCTAATATTTGTTCACTAAGTACTAAGAATTAACTGTTTTTGCAAGTGCTGCAAGGGGTACGATTTCGGAAAGTGATTACTTAATTTGTGAAACACTGCTCCCTAAACCGTACCACAATCAAAAATATTTAGTATTTATGATTAAGTGAATAAGTAGACCCCATGTAACCAATTGTTGAACAGCATATAAGAATTATATTAAGTTTTTGAATTGTTACTATAGTAACAGTGTTATTATCCTTTAAAATGCTGAGGTAAACTGATGTTGCTTTCTGAAAAATTCAAGTGTGACCAGCTTCTTAAGACTCCATTTTTTCCGCATATTTACAGACTGTCAAAGTTTTTAGAAATGGGAACTCGGTTCAGTCGAAGCATGTAAGAACAGAAGGTACATATCGGTCAATTGAATCATATCGCAATCCAACAATTACGAGATTGCAAGTGGACTAACTAGAATGCTCATTACTTAAAATGTTTTCCTCATTTTTTTCTTCATTGGAATGTTTTTTCTTTCAAATGGCAGGCACGGAACATTATTCTTCGCCTTAGAAGATGCCGGAATTGTTACTCATTTCACGTTACCCAGTGAGCACCTGTGAACCAAAGTTACGGAGGCGAGCAACATTACCTACGCCACACTGCCACAAACCCGTTTATAGGGTGAGCCACATTCACACATCACACACAAGAGAGAGAAACATCCATGCCCTGAGCGGGATTCGAACCCGCAGCCATTGACTTCGCTGTCAGGCGCGCTAACAGCTCGGCCACCTGGCCGGCACACTGGAAAGTAGAAAACAAGTTTTATGATCATCCTCACATTCACGTATAGAATAAGGTCCTCTCCTGTTAGTTTAATAAATATTAGGGAGATTTCACAAATTTACATTAGCTTCTGTGCGCCCTCGTACGTAAAATTTCAACTAATTGCTCTTCCGCACTTTTAGTGCGCATGCGCCCGTGAAAAAATATCAAGCTTACGTAAGTGAAAATAAGAAATTTCGCAAAAACTCCTTAGTTACAAGGGCTAACGTAGTGGAATATTAATTTAACTTCAACCACAAAATCAAAGCTAACATTCACAATGGGCGTAGACTAATTCTTTAAAGCTATGGCATACGATTCAAACTTCAGACGTTTGCTTCGATATGATTAAAAAATGCAGATAAATCCTATTATAAGCCTCACTTACGAGATGGAAATTTGGTAATAGATAAAAGTTGATTCAGAAATAGGTGACAGTTGATTTTCAATAGTTAAGGTGAAACACAGTTCAAGTGGCTTGAAACTCGACCTGTTCAATCCCTGAAATACGTTTGCTCTTAATTAGTACCGGTGCGATTAAAAAATTCAGACCAGATGCAGACGTTAGCTCCTAAATAGCACCGGTACGATTGATAATTGCATACTGGTCCTATTACAAGTCTCACTTACGAGATGCGAAATTTGGTAATAGATAAATTTTAGCTCAAAAATAGTTTTTAGCTACTTTTCAACAGTTTAAGTGACTTGTTACTCGACCTGTTCAGTAGTTGAAGTTAATACATTTGATCCTAAGTAGTACCTGCACAATTAAAAAATACAGGTCAGATGCAGACAGTTGCTCTTAAATAGCACTAGTACGATTAAAAAATGCAGTCCAGTTGTATTATAAGCCGTGAGGCTTATGCGAAATTTGGTAATAGGTAACCTATTTGATTCAAAATTTGGTAACAGATAAAAGTTAGTTCAAAAATAGTTTTTAGCTGCTCTTCGACTGTTTAGGTGGAATACAGTTAAAGTGGCTTGAAACTCGACTTGTCTAGTAGTTGATGTTGATACGCTTGCTCCTAATTAGTACTGGTATGATTTAAAAATGCAGACCAGATACAGACGTTTACTAGTAATTAGCACCGGTACGATTAAAAAATGCATACCGGTCCTATTAGAATTCTCATTTACGAGAAGCGGAATTTGGTAATAGATAAAAGTTAGTTCAAGAAGAGATTTTAGCTGCTTTTCAACAGTTTAGGTGAAATACACCTGTTTAGGAGAAATTACATATATATTTTTTTTACACTTTGGGAAGTATTTATTCAACAACCTAAGGTGTTTCATTACACACTTAAGGTTATTCTGGATGCACCTCAAGTGTATTTTTTGACTGTTTGATAAGTTGTTTTTATGAACGTGACGAGATCGATGTTCTACTTTAGGTTAATATTTTTCAACCTCAAGTGTAGGTTTATATAGTTGCTGAAGTATTTATTTGTAGACTTAAGGTGTGCCATTTTATATTTTCGGTTATTATAAATCAATCTTAAAATATCAAGTCAAAAATATCAAGTCTAAACTCATCTTAAAATATCAAATCTAACATTTTTAAATATTGTTTTTCATTAAAGTGAAGTGTTCTATGAGGTAACTTTAGGTCATTATTTCGTAACCTCAAGTACATATTTTTGTAATTTTTGAGGTGTTAATTTATCAACCTAAGATGCGACATTTTACACCTGAAGTATAAGCTCAACCTGAAGTTTTTTTAATACTTACGAATGTAATAATTAACAAAGGTATTTATTATATTTTTGTATATGTCACGGCGAAAGACCGAAATGTGGTTGTTGACTTTCACCGGTGAATGTCGACAAGCACCAAATACGTCGGTGAAAGATCGAATATTTCATTACATTCTTGTACATTCGGAACCTCACCGGTGTATGTCGACAATCACAGGTATGCTTTAGTGAATGTCTGAAATATTTATTACATTCGATTTTATATGAAATTATTCGTGGATATAATTACATTTATTTGATATTTTAACCCTACACTGATGTTTTTTTAAGGTTAAGTGCCATTGCCCGGTATATCGTTCACTGATGTTTTTTTAAGGTTAAGTGCCACTGCTCGGTATATCCTACACTGATGTTTTTTTAAGGTTAAGTGTCACTGCCCGGCATACATTTGCCCGGTATACCCTACACTGATGTTTTTTTAAGGTTAAGTGCCACTGCCCTGTATAGCCTACACTGATGTTTTTTTAAGGTCACGTGCCATTGCCCGGTATATATTTGCCAGATACTCCAAACACTGATGTTTCTTCTAATCTATGGTCAGTAAGTATTAAAATATAGAAAAATATATCAAATAAATATAATAATATTAACGAATAAATTTATATAAAATTGGATATGACAAATATTTTGGGCATTCAACAAAGCGACTATGTGATTGTTGACATTCACCGGTGAGAGTCTGAAATAAGGGTATTTAGCAAATATTNATTAAAATATAGAATAAATATATCAAATAAATATAATAATATTAACGAATAAATTTATATAAAGTTGGATATGACAAATATTTCGGGCATTCAACAAAGCGACTATGTGATTGTTGACATTCACCGGTGAGAGTCTGAAATAAGGGTATTTAGCAAATATTTCGGGCATACACCAAGCGACTACGTGATTGTTGACATTCTCCGGTGAGAGGCGACATTTTCCAGATTTCGATCATTCACCGTAACATATATACGTTCTACCAAGGTGGACAGTATATATTGTATACTATACGGTCTACCTAGTTTATTAATTTTTAACAGCACTATTATTGATATTATATAAGGAATAGTGTAAATATTTACATTATTTACATATTACATTATACTATAAGTTATTATACTACAACTTCGGCACTGATTCGGTCAGTAACTGCTTCTTTTGTTATGCTACAAAAGAAAATTTCAAATACATAATTCACCATAGTCGACATTAAAAAAAATCATTTTTTTGACTTTATATCAGTTGAATTCAAAGTTATGATGCTTGAACGTCATACCGTATATTTTCATTATTATATACATGACAATAACTGTTCTCGTATAATATTTCATGATTATAACGAATAACCACTCATAATCAGCATTTACATTGTTTCTATTCCACGAGACATATTTTTAACATGGCCGATCCTAGTTTCTGTTTTAAAAATATTCTCTATGATGTTTCCATTTGTGCAAAATCAAAAACAGACGCAAAACTTCAGAAATAAAAGTTTTTTTGGGGGGGTCAAAATGACCCCTTTTGGTTGCTTTAGGTATTTCTATAATTATTTATTTTACAAATCATGAGAAATCATGCGATTTTGATGTAGTATAGTTAGAAACAATTTAGGAAAAGTGAAAAAAAATGAGTTTCGAAGCTTACGTGTAGTCTTTAAAAATAAAGTAAGAAATGCCAAAAAAACGATCAAAATGACACCTAGTTTTAATTTAAAATAATGGTTAATGCTGTGTCAAGGAAAAAAATTATTTTTTTCAAATGCCTCTTCCGAGCGATCCGATTGAAATGTTTGAACGATATCTAGTTTAAAGTGCTAAAATGGTCCTTTCATCCTCTAACTAAATTTGAGGGGCCATTTATTAACAATTAAGAAGTTGTTAGTTAATGGCCCCTAAGAGGGTTGCACACATGCTAGTACAAGTTCTTATATTTATAATATAGACTATTTAAGTTTCTATTTTCAAAAGGTCACTAAAAATTGGACGCTGACATATGATCGTCAAAAAGTCCCAAAATTTGGAAATAGTTCAAAAATACAATATCCTTGGTATTGAATGGGTAATATATTTTTATTGCCTTAAGCATTAAATTTTATTGCTTTTTTTTGTTTTTACTGCATTTTGAAACGAAATGTAAAAGAAAAAATCAAAATTTGGATTTTTTATACAGTTGGCATCTTTATATCGAAAGCTAAATATTGCAAAAAAACTTTTGTTTTCAAATATAAATTTTGTTTTATCAGTTTTTTGAAGATCTATTTTGTTCTTAGCATTAGCAATAGAAGGAGAAAAGTTATCAAGCCTCTTTTCTCAGAATCAATCGTGAAGTGTTTTATACGTCGTTTATTTTATTGCATTGTAGTATTATTTCTCCCGGCTAGTACTTGTATTTCGTTATTTGATTGCATATTTTTTACTCTTTCTTTAGTAGTTTTAAGAAATAAAAAGTTTCAATGTAGCTTACAAAAGTATGACTCGTATTTCTAAAGGTAATAAGCTGTAACATGCCTTCTAGATTTATCTTAGAAATACGATTTAGTTTCTTTTAACTGTAGTGGAGTTTTTAAAAATTGAACTTTAAATTCACTCTTGCAACTTAAACTTCTAAAATAATATACCTTAATAGGTAACAGCACCATCCCATAATTCTTTTGAAGATTATGTATTCTATCTTTTTATTTCTATTTGTTCTCAAAATTAAAATTAATATACATTTTTTAATATTTTATATAAATTTATTTTTTCTAAGACAAAATGGTAAAATATATCCTTTAAATTGAGAAGGTTGTCTTACGACAAAGGTCAAAACCACTTTTTTAAGAGATTTCCGTTCCTGGAGGTGGTGGACATTCTGGTCTTGGACATAATGGACAAATTGGAATGTCAGGACTCCTTTTGGCTCTTCCACCATCTAAGCAATAAAATCTTGGGCAATGGCAGTTCTGCGCATCAGCACTTACAAAGGTTAGAAGCAATATAACAAATATAATATTGTACATTTTACCAGCCCGGAGTCTCTGAAATAAAAAAATAAACAGTAATTTTATTTTGCAATATTTTGGTGATTGCACTGATGCTAAGAACTATTATAATTGTTATTCCGCTTCTGTAATTCCGCGTGTAATACATACATTTAAGAAAATGAAACGTTGTAGAAAGTTTAATACATATACTCGTAAAAAAAGATTATGTGTCTTTTTAGAAAGAAAAAATGTGTATTACTTTAAATATAGCTTCTAAATATTCTTCCGCTAAAAGAAACTATAATTTTAAAAACCAGTATTTTTGAAAGCTGCAACGATATGAATGAAAAAATTATGTTATAGAAAGTTGAAGACGTATACTTTGAAAATCAGATTATGTGTTATTAAAAAATTTGTAGTTTTAGAAATTAAAAAAAAAATATATTAGCTGAAATATAGCGTCTAAGTATTCTTCGGGTAAAAAGAGCTATAATTTTAAAAATCAGTATTTTTGAAACCCGGAACGATATGAATGGAAAAAATTATGTTCTAAAAAGTTGACCTACTTTGGAAAGCAGATAATATGTTATTGAAAAGTGTATCCTTATAGCAAGAAAAAAATTCTCTTACTTTAAATATATCGTCTAAATATTCTTCCGGTAAAGAAAAACTATAATTTTAAAAACCAAAGTTTTTTGAAAATCGTAACGATATGAATGGAAAATTTACTAAATGAATGGTTTATTTTGATTGTTGCCTTTATTACCAGAATTTTATTTTATTTTATAACCACTATTGATTCGCCGACCCAATTGTTTGGGATTACGATTCCTGATGTTCAACTCCGTAGCCTTGAAATTTTGAACAAATTTCAGAATTAAAGAGGACTCCTGATTAGATATTGAGAGGAGAAATTTGCCTTCACGGTGGACTTTTTAGTGGAACTAAGTCACATTTGCGTTGCTTGGAGAGGAATACCATGAGAACCTGACACGGTTAGCCTGGTGATAAAGGGACTCTAACCCATGACTCGTCTACAACTGAGAATATTCTTACGTAAGCACCGTGGTCGGTGCGATCCGGATGCGGTATTCGTATCGACCAGCCATAGCTGGAATTCGAAGCCAGCCAACCTCTGTGTAAGGTGGATGCTCTATTCTCTGAGCTACAAGCAGCTCCGGTTACCAGAATTATGGTTTTCTTTGCAATAAATGTCATTGCCATACAGTAGGGTAACTTTGCAAGATTTTTTGCCCGTGTGGTATTGAGTTTTATAGAGCAGCTATCTATGCATTAAACTGAATGATAAAATAGAATTAATAATGCAAGATCTTTTTGCCATTTTCATTTAAAATCAAAAATACAGATTCTCATTGTGTCATTATTTTCGTTTATTTTTGAACTATTTTCGTTACGAATTTTTTGTTAGTTTTTGCATTAGGTTGACTTTTGGTTAGAGTTATCTGGTGTTACTTTCTGACGTGAATTTGTCGAACCTAATAATGCACGAAATACTGAAACATTAAGTGTTGACCTTATATTATACTGGCAATATTTCACCTGATCAGTGATAAAAAAAAACTTACACTCGATATTTTAAAATATCTACCAGGATTATAATATTCAAATATTTTTTCGTAAAGATATCAATTTCAACTTTAAAGCTTGAAATTTAATTTAAATGTTTGGTTTAAAATTTCAAATTTATAATATTTAAAAAAATTGCATCCAGGTTGATGGGAAATACTAAATATTTCGCTTTGAGGAACTCTGGTATGCAGAAACATAATGAAAAAATATTTGAAAAGAAACCGCTATGAAATAATGATCCCCCTTTGCCTTCTATATTATTCCAATTATATTATTCAGCAATAAAATTTGTTCAATAGATAAAAACACATCAAGCAATGGATAATAAATTTCTAAATTAAGAAATTAAAAATAAATAACATACTTACGAGTAAAGATGAAAAATCAAAATTGTTCAAGAGATGTGATTCGCAATATAAAATGTAGTACCTTTAAATGTGAAATGATTAGTTTTCTCTTATGCACAACTTGATGTTTGATCAGAGAGTCAGCAATTTAAATTCTTACGAAATAAGACGATTATTGCGAAATAACACAGATTAAACATAGGACAAATGTAATCATATTTTATATCTTACTAAACAGTCTTGTCATGATATGGATCAAAATGTATACACATTCAGTTGTGCAATTGGAATTTTGAGTTGTTGTAATATAAAACATGACAGTTTTAATTTCCCCTACTTATTTTACTTTTGCATGATGTTGTCGTATGTATCAGTTATCAGTCACCAGTATTATATATTTTTTATGTTTTCCAATGTTAATTTTGAAATTATATTTTCTATTTAGAATATGATTTTGAGTTTTAGAATTTCTATTTGGAGTTTTAATTTTGCTCAATTTCAAAGGTTTCGTTAAAATGTATCCCAGAAAACTTCCGCGTTGCTACAACTGTTCCTGTTTTAGAATTTTTTTCCTGTCTAGAACCTTATTAAGAAGATATTTAACAGTGAAAATAATATAATTTTTCTTCCTCTAAATCAAATGCATGGTCATTGAATTATCAAATATTGATGGAACTAGTAAAAGTAGAATAAATGTGTTCACCACAGAAAACGATGAGGGATAAAAGAAATGGGGGTCGTAATTATACTACATAAAAGTTAGCAGCTTACATAAAATTAGCAAAATTGGTATTGGGTCTTTTTCTCCAAACAGTACAGTGTTATTAGTCACCCAAAAAAAGATATTAAAAAAATTCTACTATTATATCAAGATTGAGACTATTGTTTACTATATAAGTCCAATGTACTAAGTATTAGCATTCAACCATTCTTGGGTATTATAAATTAAACTCGGATAAAAATGGATGAGTCAAATACAGAACATCATGCTTAATATTAAGAAAGTTTCATTTGTATTTAAAATTTTCCATAAAAGTTTCGAGCGCGAAAAAATAATCATTCATTCTCAAGATTCGTCAGATGTAAAGGAGGAAGGAAAAGAAATTTGGAACAGAACACGTAACGTTGCAACAAAAAATGAAAATCAAAAATCGAAATTCTGTGGTGGTAGAAAGAGAAATCAGCATTCATTTGAATGGACTAAGATTTCAACGAAACAACAGGAGCTGACTAAGATTCCAACACATGTGCGGCATTAGAAGATTTCTCACATTCTTAATAATGGATTTTAGGATGAGTTTAATTTATTCGATTTAGCCAAAGTCGCACTGGCAAGATATGTGGTAAGCGTCCCAATGATTTTCTGTAGTGATAGGTTTTTTAACCAACTGAGCGTTAGTCCTGGCCTTTCCGGATTTTTAGCAGCAAACTGCATCAAAATCGATTTTTCCATGCTATACACAAGGAGAGTTGTTCGCAGCAGGTATATTTCAGCACAATTTCAACTAGAGACTCTGGACTTGAAGGGGAAATTATTTAAATTTTATTTTGTTAACAGGAATAAAAATGACTTTAAAATCAGAAGGTATTAAGATCGCAGCTATGTATAGACAGGGGAGAAAAAAGGTAAAGTTTTCATATTATTAAGCATGTCTTCAGCTTCAATTTCTTGGGTTTTTTTCATATTAGCAGAGCATTATTATTAACGAAGTTAATAATAATGCATTGACCATAATAAAATAATTTATTTGAAAACATTCAGAAGAAAGAAAATGTTTCATTTTTGCATTTGCTTTCGTAACTTTTTGTTCCTTATTTTTCATTTTCAGAGATTTTGATAAACATTTTTAATTTATATAATCATAACTATGAGAACAAAAAAGAGAAATCTAACATTGGTTTATAAATTTTTTATGCGATTAACTTCAGCAGCATTTCAAAATCTTTTCAAATATCTAATTTTCTTCCTTCACTTTTGTTGACATATTTATTTACCCCATTCTAACTTTTGGTAATTTTACTGTAGGACAATTATTAAGAAATTTAGTAGCGTTGGATACTAAATATATTGTTTTAAACTAAATGCAGACATCTGAAATAAAATTTAGATCTTTTTTGAAATAAAATTTAGCAACCATCTTGAATTTATTGATTGAATTAAAATGAAGATAATGTAAAATCAAAAGTTTAAACTTTACTAACTGTGGAAAAAAATAAGGATGACCGAAATTTCAGATTTTTTAAGGAAATTTAGAATTTCAATTTGCTTTGCAACTGATACTAATTTGATACTTTATTCTAGCAAAATTTCGTTACGAGTTGAACACAACTAACAAGTCACGCACCATAAGAAATAGTTAAATTTTATTTTGATTTGTCAGAGTGAAAATATACAGAAGAATAGTTAATACCATTATCCAACAAATAAAATCAACACATTGGTTAACCGCACCAATGATGCGAGCCACTTCCAACATAACAAAGATATAAAAAAAACATCAACACTACATAATACTGTCAGCATAACATCATTAGTCACTGCCAACATAACAAAGATTAAAAAAAAATCAATGCCCGGCTTACACTTGCTTAGTATACCCTGAACTGATGACCGGGATAGACTCATGATCACTGGACTCATGTTAGTGAGAACGGGAGTTGGAATCCAACCGGCTTAAGATTCCTCGTGTAGTAAATTATGACTGGTGCACATTAAATCTGTCTGGTCACAAAGTCCTCCATTTTCCCATTAAAGAATTATACATCTGGGGGTACAGAATCGCATATTGCTCCTCTGTGTTTTAATGGTCTACGACAACAGCAACGACCCTAAACTGATGTTCTTTCAAGGTTGAGTGTGACTGCCCGGTATACCCTACATTGATATTTTTTTAAGATTAAGTATGACTGTCTGGTATACATTTGCTTGACACATTCTACACTGATGTTGTCTAAGGTTAAGTGATACTTAACTGCATACTTCGGACTGCGGTATACCATCTTCTTCCACTTCTACGCTTCCCGGCATATAGTATTAAATATCATATTTTTATTTATAGCATCTAAAATGAGCCAATTAGATTAGCTTTTCAAATGATAAATCTCACGTATCTATTGCGCATGCGTGATTAAGTGTGGGGCAAACAGTTTGTATAGGATAATACCACCGGAGGCTAAAGTCATTTTCTTTTCGTGTGTTTAAACCATTTCAATTTGACACCTGAAAACAAGTATTATCCCAATTTGATGTTTATCACCAAGATTTGGTTGTTTTTCTCATCATATTAATTTCTGTTCAAGATTTTTTTACAAATATATTAGAAACATTACAATCATTTTAAGGTGTATTAAATAGTAGTCACATTCATTTTTTTCAAGTTTTATTTTACATACATTTCTTACAGTTACTTTTTTATTCAATTGATTAAAAAATTATGAACAATATACAAAATTTATAACAAATTATCTTCTTTCACCATATAATTCAAAAACAGCAATCTAAAACCAAAAAAAAGACCTTTTTCAATTAAAATATATTTAAAATTTTAAAAAAGAAATCCATTTTCTTTTTGTTCTAAAATAAATCAAGGAAATTTTTCCCTTTAGCATTTTTTTCATACCCCATTTCAACAAAACCCCTTCAAAGTCTTAAAATGCCAAAGATCAGTTTCTAAAAAATTATTTCCTGATACACTCTTTGATTAATTTATGACATGTTTTGAAAATCTATCTGATTTTTTTTCTTAACTATTAAAATATACTCGAGTTTGATAAGTTTTGAATGCATTAATCCGATCTTTCTATATAATGGTTTTTAACTTTTAAAATATATCACCAGGTCTTATGTAACACGTGATCAAGAAATATATTAATATTTTAAGTCTAAAAAGTTTTTTTTTTAATATTACACTTTTTAAAAAAAATTGTACTACAGTTAAATATAAACATCGGTAAATTTCTGAGACTTGGGACATATAAGAGGGAACATATATGTTTCAGTTAATGGTGAACTACTATCGTAAAGCAAGTTGAAAGATGGAATGAATAACTTGCAACATATATCATTGATTAAAAATGGCATCGCCTTAAGGTTAATGCACAATTTATTTATAGTATGGATCTAGGTTGTTTGAAAATGTTTAACAGTTCACATGAAGTATGATGATTGGTACATCACTATTAACTTTAGCATTTTTTTATAATTTCTAAAAATATCGGACGAAATGCTGATAAAAGATATTTCCTATTTTACCCGTTATAACAATTTTAATAATTTTAGTTCAGCGCTTTCTTCTTATTTATTCACGCAATCTGTATTTTGAATGATTAAATTATATTTTTTTCAAGTTAATTTGTCAATTTTTAGAATATAATGGTTCATTTTGTTTTGATTAACAAATTTTTCTTACCCAGAATTATAATAAATGCATATTTTACTATAATCTTATTTATTGAAATAAATTGTAATAATTTATTGAATATAATAATTTTATTGATTACAATAAATATTTATTTTATTAAAAAAATATTCTTTCTTTGTGGAAAATAATTTTTTTAATAAAACCAAGGAAAACAAAAGCAAGGCAAGGAGAAACAAATTGGTAAAACTACCGTATTGTAATGTAATGATTTTCTGGTAAAAAAAAAAGACTGAAAAAATTAATAAAACTAAAATATACGGTATTTATTACACTCATTTGGTAATTTCTCTGTTCATATTGTAACGGTTGCCTAGAAGTTCTGGTTTTAAAATTTATAGTTCTTACTGCTACTCATTTAGTTCAAAATACAAAACTGAAAAGTAAATTCAACCGAATAAATGTTTTTTGCGCCATGCTTAATGATATCATGAAAAATTTACCAAATTATACCATCTTAACCAAATTTTATCACTGTAATAAAAACATATATTACTATTAATTCTAGCAAATCCCTTCAAAATCGCTTCTGTAAAACCTTTTCCATAACCTTTTTCACATAGAGCCAAAAACTGGGTAAATTTTGCAATATTCTGGTAGATTTGTCCTTACTTGTCCATGGAGGTCGGTGAGGGAAGCAAGGAGGGGCTCGAGTGATGGGCTTCTCAGTAATTTAAAATATCTTAACCAGTAATAATTTCAATTAAATCTTTTTAAACTAATTTAAACCTTGCTGCATTCTAAACAATTTAAATGGTTTATTAAATGATTTGGACCACTTTAAATTTACAAGTCATTTTAATTCATTTTAATTTAAGTCAATTAATCATTTTAAATTCCTATAACAATTGTTTCTATGTTAAATCTTAATAACAACCTTTAACCTTAATATAGTGCTCATTATATGCACTATAAATAAGATGTTAAATTGAAACACTTCAACCAAGACGAACGATGGTGCTAATTTTAAGACGTATGATTATATGATTTGGCTTATGTCCATATTAAAATCAAAATCACTGCAAATGTAAATGATAATATGGCTCATGCTTGTCAAGTCTGGGAAGTGTAATAATATTGTTCAACTTTACAGCACATTAATTTTAAAACTAATCTATAAACATTGTTATGATACACTAAGTATTAAAATCTCTAACAGTGTGCAAAATGCAGAGAAAAAAATGAAAAATTTCGGATATAATGATTGCGTACTCCGTAAAATCCATTTTTGCCGTAAATAAATTTTTATCGTAGAATATTGTACATTAATTTTTAAAGTATAATTTATTTTATTAGAGTAAATTACCAATTTTGCGGCATATATTTCGATTCTTAATTATACTGTAATAATTTTATTATTGGCATATTTTGCCATATTTTGATAACTTTTTACGAACGAGAACCGAAAAGTTTTGGCCCGTAAATAAAAGATTTGTTGATCTAAAGATAATTTCATGCAAAATATGATTTCCAAAAATTATTCGTTATTTTGTTTCTTCAATCAATTTTACTTATTAATTGCAAATAATGCAAATATTTATACAATTTCAAAAACATTTAATTTTAAATAGCAAATTATTTGAACGAAAACAGTCGAACAGTTTTTGAGTTATTAAATTTTAATTTTGAGACTTTTTTAAGAGTAAACTTAAGAGGGAACGAAATGAGTTGAAAAATACCTTTTATTCCGAAAAGGCAACTATGAATCAGGTCCCGAAGGAAGTGGTGGACATTCTGTATTCGAACAATGTTGGCATCGAACAATATCAGGACTCCTTTTAGCCCTTGCACTCAGTGGGCAATTAAGATGTGGGGGAACTGGACAATAGCAACTTTGAACAGCATCAGTGGTCAATGTTACAAGGAGAATAATAAACACAATCTTGCGCATTTTTTCTTGATTTTCCTAGAATGAAATGTATATATATATATATATATATATATATATACGTTCTTACATACATTGTCTATGTATACAAAGATACAAAACATTGCCTTTTTGTACAAACTAACATACATGCGTACATATCGAAGTCAATGTTTCTTATATGTACTAAGCATATGCGCATTGCATTAAGTATATTACAAT